CTGGTGCTGGGGGACAATGCAGAAACTGGCGCTGGGGGACAATGCAGGAACTGGTGCTGGGGGACAATGCAGAAACTGGCGCTGGGGGACAATGCAGGAACTGGTGCTGGGGGACAATGCAGAAACTGGCGCTGGGGGACAATGCAGGAACTGGTGCTGGGGGACAATGCAGAAACTGGCGCTGGGGGACAATGCAGGAACTGGTGCTGGGGGACAATGCAGAAACTGGCGCTGGGGGACAATGCAGGAACTGGTGCTGGGGGACAATGCAGAAACTGGCGCTGGGGGACAATGCAGGAACTGGTGCTGGGGGACAATGCAGAAACTGGCGCTGGGGGACAATGCAGGAACTGGTGCTGGGGGACAATGCAGAAACTGGCGCTGGGGGACAATGCAGGAACTGGTGCTGGGGGACAATGCAGAAACTGGCGCTGGGGGACAATGCAGGAACTGGTGCTGGGGGACAATGCAGAAACTGGCGCTGGGGGACAATGCAGGAACTGGTGCTGGGGGACAATGCAGAAACTGGCGCTGGGGGACAATGCAGGAACTGGTGCTGGGGGACAATGCAGAAACTGGCGCTGGGGGACAATGCAGGAACTGGTGCTGGGGGACAATGCAGGAACTGGTGCTGTGGGACAATGCAGAAACTGGTGCTGTGGGACAATGCAGAAACTGGTACTGGGGGACAATGCAGGAACTGGTGCTGGGGGACAATGCAGAAACTGGCGCTGGGGGGACAATGCAGAAACTGGCACTGGGGGACAATGCAGAAACTGGCGCTGGGGGGCAATGCAGAAACTGGCGCTGGGGGGACAATGCAGAAACTGGCACTGGGGGACAATGCAGAAACTGGCGCTGGGGGGCAATGCAGAAACTGGCGCTGGGGGGACAATGCAGAAACTGGCACTGGGGGACAATGCAGAAACTGGCGCTGGGGGGCAATGCAGAAACTGGCGCTGGGGGGACAATGCAGAAACTGGCACTGGGGGACAATGCAGAAACTGGCGCTGGGGGGCAATGCAGAAACTGGCGCTGGGGGGACAATGCAGAAACTGGCACTGGGGGACAATGCAGAAACTGGCGCTGGGGGGCAATGCAGAAACTGGCGCTGGGGGGACAATGCAGAAACTGGCACTGGGGGACAATGCAGAAACTGGCGCTGGGGGGCAATGCAGAAACTGGCGCTGGGGGGACAATGCAGAAACTGGCACTGGGGGACAATGCAGAAACTGGCGCTGGGGGGCAATGCAGAAACTGGCGCTGGGGGGACAATGCAGAAACTGGCACTGGGGGACAATGCAGAAACTGGCGCTGGGGGGCAATGCAGAAACTGGCGCTGGGGGGACAATGCAGAAACTGGCACTGGGGGACAATGCAGAAACTGGCGCTGGGGGGCAATGCAGAAACTGGCGCTGGGGGGACAATGCAGAAACTGGCACTGGGGGACAATGCAGAAACTGGCGCTGGGGGGCAATGCAGAAACTGGCGCTGGGGGGACAATGCAGAAACTGGCACTGGGGGACAATGCAGAAACTGGCGCTGGGGGGCAATGCAGAAACTGGCGCTGGGGGGACAATGCAGAAACTGGCACTGGGGGACAATGCAGAAACTGGCGCTGGGGGGCAATGCAGAAACTGGCGCTGGGGGGACAATGCAGAAACTGGCACTGGGGGACAATGCAGAAACTGGCGCTGGGGGGCAATGCAGAAACTGGCGCTGGGGGGACAATGCAGAAACTGGCACTGGGGGACAATGCAGAAACTGGCGCTGGGGGGCAATGCAGAAACTGGCGCTGGGGGGACAATGCAGAAACTGGCACTGGGGGACAATGCAGAAACTGGCGCTGGGGGGCAATGCAGAAACTGGCGCTGGGGGGACAATGCAGAAACTGGCACTGGGGGACAATGCAGAAACTGGCGCTGGGGGGCAATGCAGAAACTGGCGCTGGGGGGACAATGCAGAAACTGGCACTGGGGGACAATGCAGAAACTGGCGCTGGGGGGCAATGCAGAAACTGGCGCTGGGGGGACAATGCAGAAACTGGTACTGGGGGACAATGCAGAAACTGGTGCTGGGGGACAATGCAGAGTCTGCAGACTAAGGACATCTAGTGGTGGAGGAGCAGTACTGCAGCCAAGGATTGCAGGTGAGTGGTGCAGCAAAAGCTGCTTTTTGTTTTGATCTATTAATGGGTTGGAGTTCTACTTATAAAATACCTTCACTTATACAGGCCTGTACATTGGACCTATAGGAGGGACGCTTGAGGTTGGTGGAGGGATCTGGCTGCAAAATAGCATTTCTTCAAATGAGGACCACTTGGAATCTATGGGAATAAGCATACAGCATGGGGGGGGGGTTAGACTTCTCTATTCCTAGTGATAAATCAGAGCTAGGTTCTCATCATCACCACCACAAGTTGTTCTTCCATCTGGGATCTGAAGCTGGCTCACAGTCATTAACAGTGACAGTTATATTCTGTGATGTGTCCCTTTTATGAAGACACTTACATACGCATGATGATTAAAGGTTCATATCGGGCGCAGGAAACAAATGTTAGTGTAAGGACTTACCTGAATGATGTCTCCTTATCCGATCTTCTTCTTTCCTGTAGTTCTTAGGAGTCCCTCCAGCGCTGGTGCGGGTCTCTGATCCAGCGCTGACTCCTGTGTCCTCCTCCTCTCATGTCCCATGGTGTCTGTGCGGGTGCGCGCTGCTACATAGACTCACCTTGTTTCTCTCCTCGTCTCCCGCCTGAAGATCTGTACTGCGCATGCTCCCGCCCCATCATCCTTTGCAGCCGCCCGAGACTCTTCAGATGTTCGGGTGTTTCTGCATCTATCTACTGCTCGCTAGCAATAAATACAGTGTATACAAAACACCGCTGAAGGCTTATTAACCCTTTAAGGCCACCCATTGAAAATAACAGGCTGCCAATACACTGAAACGTCCTGACAATCCCACATGACGCAAAGTTTTTAGCGCAAATTGAAACTGAAATGTATCGCAACCAGGGATAATAAGTCATTTCAGGGAGGTGCCCTCTGTTAACCCCCCCTCCTTCTACACAGGGGCAGTGCAAGAAGAAGGAAAAGAGCACCCTCCTAAAATGATTGCAGATGGCAAAGACGCTAATGCTGCCTTTGCTATCTGCTGTTTTCTTTAGTATTCTGGCAGCTGCCACCGTCAGAATAAAAAAAAACAGCATAGGAATGAATAGCTAGATTGCTATTGGCTATTTCACTTTGCAATAGCCAATAGCAAACTGGCTATTGGACCCGCCCTCTTCTGCTCTCAGTCAACAGAGGAGGACCTGAGGGAGAACTTCATGTCCTCCTCTGCTGATTGACAGCAGCAGAGGGCGGGTCCAACAGCTAGTCTTCTATTGCCTCTTGCAAAGTGAAATAGCCAATAGCAGCCTGGCTATTCATTTCTATGCTGTTTTTTTAATATTTTTTCCTGACTGACTGACGGCGGCTCCGATGTCAGAAAAAAACAAAACCCAGACAGCAGGGAAAGGGTTACTGTGCTAGATGGAGCAGAGTAAACGTTTCCGGGAGAACATGTTCCTCTCCCTGGTGTCCGGGAACCGCTATCTATGTCTGCACAACACAGCCATGAAATACAAAAATAACACCAAAATGTACAAATGGCGGGAAGGATGAGGAAGGAGGTTTTATACTCAGGGTGACCTAAGAGCTAATACTTATCGTCTAATGTACGTGTACTTCACCTGACATGTATGAATGAAGGCTGCATCCTGCTTGTAGGCTTCATTCACACAGAAGCTGCTGAAAGCACTTCCAATACACAGGACACGCCATCACCATGACAGCCCTGCGGAGTACACCGGGAGAGCATGTCATTTGTGTATAACCGTATGTATTGCATGTGTACCCTGTATGTAATGTGCATATATCCTTGTATGCAGTCTGCATGTATCCTATATGTAGTCTGCGGTTATCCTGTATGTAACCTGTGTATATCCTGTATGTAGTCTGTGTGTATCCTGAATGTAACCTGTATGTAGTCTGTGTGTATCATGAATGTAACCTGTATGTAGTCTGTGTGTATCCTGAATGTAACCTGTATGTAATGTGTATATATCCTGTATGTAGTCTGCATGTATCCTTTATGTAACCTGTGTATAGCCTGTATGTAGTCTGCGTGTATCCTGTATGTAAGGTGTGAATATCCTGTATGTAGTCTGCATGTATCGTTTATGTAACTTATGTGTAACCTGTATGTAGTCTGTGCGCATACCCTGTATGTAGTCTGAATGTATTCTGTATGTAACTTATGTGTATCCTGTAGGTAACCTCTGTATACCCTGGAATTAGTCTGTGTGTATCCTGTACTGTATGTAACCTCTGTGTATCATTTATGTAACCTGTGTGTATCCTGTATGTAACCTGTGTGTATTCTGTATGTAACCTCTGTGTAATCTATATGTAACGTGTGGGTAACCTGTGTGTAACCTGTATGTATACTGTGTGTAGCGTGTGTATCCAGCATGTAACCTGTGTGTAGCCTGTATGTATACTGCGTGTAGCCTGTATGTATACTGCGAGTATCCTGTATGTATACTGTGTGTAACATGTGTGTATCCAGCATGTAACCTGTGTGTAGTCTGTATGTATACTGCGTGTAGCCTGTATGTATACTGCGAGTATCCTGTATGTAACCTGTGTGTAGTCTGCCTGTAACCTGTATGTAGTCAGTGTCTTCAGGAGCTGACAGCTCTCTTTATACATTAGCCAAAACCTTGCCCATCCCAAAGAGTCTGAACTTCTCATCCATAACAGAGGAGCAGAGCCGCCCTTCATCTCCCCAGTGACATGTGACCCCATTGATGTGTGCTGGGATGTCCCCCTCCTCCCCGGCCCGTGTGTATATTCCCGGGCCAGCCTGCCCTCCACACTCCCAGTTCCCCCATGACGTGGCGTGGGCAATGACGTCACCGGGCGGGAGTGGTCAGGGAATCACTTTGCCCCTGGCCCCGCCCCCTCCAGTGACAGTAGCTGCTCGGCACCGGCAGCGGCGGGAGGTCATGGCTCCGGCTCACGTCCTGCGCTGCTGCCAGCGGGTGGTCGGCTGGATCCCGGTGCTGTTCATCACGCTGGTCGTCTGCTGGTCCTACTACGCCTACGTGCTGGAGCTGTGTGTGTGTGAGTACTGCGCTTCCTGCCCGCCGCCGCACCGACATCCGCCCGTGGTCACCCCGGTACACAGGGCGCTCCTGACACTGTGTGTGTGTACAGTGTATGCTGTGTGTGTGTACAGTGTATGCTGTGTGTGTGTGTACAGTGTATGCTGTGTGTGTGTGTACAGTGTATGCTGTGTGTGTGTACAGTGTATGTTGTGCTGTGTGTGTACAGTGTATGTTGTCCTGTGTGTGTGTGTACAGTGTATAATGTGCTGTGTGTGTACACTGCATGATTGCCTGTGTGTGTACAGTGTATGATTCCATGTGTGTGTACAGTGTCTCCCCCCGGGGTGCTCACGGTGCTGGAGGATGCTGTGTGTGTACATACTATTGGTACATATTTCATGTGACTGATCAGTGTGAGGATGTCAGGTATTCGATATGAGGGAAAAACAATTGTCTTTACTCCAAGTACACACACTGGGCTGACTTACTAAAGGAGTTGAGGATCTTCACTCCATCAAATGTGTGAATGTTGTGTGAAAAGCATCTGCACATGAGCTGGTATTCAAAGTAAATGTATTTTTCACACATTGGATAACTGAAGTGAACATTCACAGATTTTGTGGAGTGCAGATCCTCCACTCCTCCAGTAAATCAGCTTGGTTGTGAGGTCAGAGGCAGGCAAAGCTGTGATGAAACTAAAAATCCCATCATGCCTCTGTCTGTGGGAGTTGTGGCTGTCGGAGTGGTGCAATGCCTCATGGGACTTGTAGTTGCCCACCCCTGGTGCAGGTTGTTGTGTTGGGCAGACGTGTCTGGGGATGATTTTGGCCATACGAGGCTCTTGCTGGTCCGGTGACATTTCTCGAGCATTGTACAGGGGCCCCAGTGGTCCTGGAGTGATCTGGAGCTCCATCGGCGAGATTTCACCTCACTTCCTGTTCTGATGACAAGTTTCACCAGACAGGAAGTGAGGGAAAATCTTCAGCAGGGACACAGACCTGACAGGGTTCTCGTCTTCCTCTACTCCTCTTAAGAGCTAGTTCACACCATCCTCGGCCCGATTGTGGCTGGGACACACTGGATGGCATTGCGGCCGGCTCACTTTGTTGTGGGACGGGAGGAGTTGTGGCGGTGCATTAAACTCAATGATCGGCCACAAGGGAACGCATAAAAAACGCTGCACTATTTTTTCTGACTGGAACGCAGGCATTGATGTGCCATGCGTTCCTGTGCAGCTGATCGCATTGCGGCCAGAGGGCGTGGCTGCAGGGCCATTGAGGTCAATGAACCGCCACCCC